CCCCCCCCCCCCCCGGGTACCATAGCAGCCACTTATTCAGCTGTTAGCCTGTTTGCAAGTTGCCTGGGACTTCCCCAGTGACTTTGTTGAAAACTGTCAGTTGTGAGGACCTTGCTTAACAGCAATGGGGACAGTCAGGACTGCCATCACCAAGCGATGCAGTCATGGCGATGTTGTCCTTTATGACTGCATTACTCAGCACTGGAATGTCCAGTCCCAATTACTGTTGCTAAGCAAGAACTACTTGTTTATAAAATGTAACAGGGCTTGAAGATAGAATAAATATTTTGTTTCTGGGAGCCCAAAATTAGAGAAATAATTTTCTGAGCCAGGGATCAATTAAGTCACATAGTTCAGGAAGCTAGAGGTCAAGACTACTCTTTCTATGACTGGATTCACACAATTTGCTAAGCCAAAATGAGGTTTGCTTGTTCGTAAGCTAGTATAAACCTAGGCAATTATACACTGAACTATGATTAAACAATTTGTAGCTCTTAATTTAGTATGAAGATGGCCAGTGTAAAGAGAACTACTTACATTTATTTTTAAATACAGAATTCAAGTCTTCCAAGTCAAGCAAAAAAAAAAAAGTGCTTATCGAACCAGGGAACCCAGCAGGAGATTTCACCATTCTTCCCCCCAATGCATCCCATTAAATCTCCAATTATAAAAATAGATTTCCATAAAGTCTCTCCTCCTGATCGGTTTATTTCATGAAGTCCTGCCATTGTGATGTACCATTCCTTCACTTCTGGTATCCTAGCCACCATTATCCTATCTATATCTCCTATTTATCAATTTAAAAAACCTAGATGTTGCTTATAAATGTTAAAATTATGTAAAGAAAATCTCCCTGACATATTTTAAGGCATCATCTTCTTCCTCCAGTTTGGTTTCCTCATTGCTACTTAAAGAAGCTGACTGAGCTGGAGGTGTGGATGGTACAGGAGGATCCTTGGCAATGTTGGCAGCAGTCCTTGGATGGTGACCATCTGTCAATTCCTGTTGATGCTCTTGGACCTCATCTTCTGATGAAATCACATCACCTTCTATAGCTTTGCAATTCTAAAAAGGAAGCAATCATATTTTCTTTCATTTTGGGATCAAGACACCAAGTTTCTCTCTCTGCTATCTAAATCAGGATAAATGAGATGCTTGGTGCCTGGTAGAATATCTACAATCATGCCTGATTGGTAAACAATTCTCTGTGATCAAAAGAAATGAGCCCAAGTGTCCTTGAACTTAACAGTGAGTTTGATCACCCAGTGCAATTGGCTGTATTTAGACCCAATTCTTTTTTCCAATTCTCAAGATAGCAAGATGTTCTGGCAAAAATTAACTGAAAAGCTGCAGCCTCCATAACAGCAGGAAATCGTATGGAAAAAGATGCTGCCACCTGGGCAACATCTTTGCATTGCTCACCTCAGCTAAAATACAAAGAGCCATGTCGACCAACTCTGCTTCATTCATACAATACACAGTCTCAGTCCTACAAAAGAAAATCATACTGTGAAGTATGTAAGAGGAAAAATAACCCTCCCTCCAGTTAATATCAATTTATAGAGACAATCAGCAGATGTCAGAAAGTGCAAATTGTCAAATTCTCTTTGTAGTCTTATTCAGTATATCTATCTATTTCAGTATATCTATCTATTTTTAGCGCTGGTATCAGGAAAAATAGCAAAGATCAACTCAATCAATTTTTTTTTATATTGCGGTCAAAGACCAGCACTACAAATAAGACCATTAAAAACAGCAACAAAATAAAAATAAAAACAGACAAATAATATATCACAATTAATGGTAGGTTACCAGTGGGTAGTTAAGAGTCTAATTTTGCATACAGTATAACAAAATTTGGTGACATTCAAGGAAACTACTTCATACTTAACTGATAACAGCAGTTGTAGATAAAAGAGATCAGTACTTCCTGGGTATTTTATTAGGTGAGGTCTTACAAAGTGAGTCTGTGAGTTCTTATAGATAGAAGATACAGTATAGCAGAAAAAGAGCTGTAATTTCAATGACCCCTTGTCCACAGGGGCAACCATCTAAAATATTTTAAAACTCTTTCCTGTATCTCAAACAGCTCTTCACCATGATCTGCCTTTATTTTTGTGTAACCTGTCTCCCACAATCTCTGTACTTTATAACAAAATGGTGGTTTCGTTCAAAAATGTTTCCTACTCTTAGAACTGTAGAGGAAAAGCTTTTTAACATTTAATTCTAATTTAATCTCAATTGAATCTAAAATATGGTTTCTCACAGCCAAACTTTCAAGATATTATATGAGTGTAACTATTTGGGATGACATATTCTGTAAACAGTAAAACTGTAGCAATTTCGTTTTTAATTAGTTACAAACTGATTCTACCGTGTTTCTCCAAAAATAAGACCAGGTCTTATATTAATTTTTGCTCCAAAAGATGCATTAGGGCTTATTTTCCGATTAAGTCTTATTTTCGGGGAAATACGGTATTAAATGTGTCTGATGATCTTAACAGGGGCTTATATTACGAGTGTCCTGAAAAATCATGCTAGGGCTTATTTTCCGGTTGGGTCTTATTTTCGGGGAAACACAGTATAGACTATATTTGATGTGTGTGAGTATGCACAGATACATGTGTGTGACTATTTAAGGGTATAAAAACAGAAAGATAAATTGAAGAATGTGATAGTTCTACAATCCTGGAGAAAATCTATGTAATCACTAAGAGTCCATACTGATTGGATGTCCCCTAGTCTATCAATAGTTCTATACACACATCTCACAACCCCCCACAACCCTCCTCCCAATTTGGCTCTTTGAGGGTAGAAAGGGAAGTTTAGAACAACCCATTCTTCTCTGATTTTTAAGAAATAGGTAGGCAGCACACCTTGCTAAATCTGTCCTTTTTCTTCTCTTTGATTTCATTTTTGCCTTTTCTGCTGGTTCAGCTATCTTCTTGGTCATCCATGCTGGAAGAATCCTCTTCTTTGCTGCCTCAGGGGAACTCATTTCTGTTAATTCAAGAAGAAAGGGAACAATTTGTACAAGAAAATTTGAAATTAAACTTTTGTCGAATTAATGGTTCAATGCAGCCTACTGTTCCTTTCTGACAATGTTTACACGTCTCAGCCATTTGGTGCTAACCATAGGCAATAACTGAACTGGCAGCAAACAGAGCAAATTGAAACTACTTTTGGTGTATCAATCAAAATATACTGGCTCATCTTTGTCATGGCTGATCAGCTAACACTTTATTTTACAAATATATTAAAAAGTAAATAAAACTGGCAATTACACACAGAGTTACCACAGACTGGAGGGAGGAAAGTTAAGTATCACCCCCTCCATTTGTGTTCCATTTCAATAATTTGCAGGTACAAGCACATATGTAGAAAAAAAAATAACAATGGAGCTCAACAGTTTGACATATTCTAAATAAAGGACAGGTACTGAAGGTTTTTATGTTGCTTCAATTTGCTAGCACTCAGCCCCTCCTGCCACCCCCAATGTTCATCCCTGGACCAAAAGATCTTCAAAAGGTTTTCTGCTTTCCCTTTCTACACAGCAAGCTCCTGAGTTGCTTGCATTGAAGAGCTGTGGTGGTTAGAATGCAGTACTGCAGACTAATTCTGCCGACTACCAACTGCCAGCAGTTTGGCAGTTCGATTCCCACCGGCTCAAGGTTGACTCAGCCTTCCATCCTTCCAAGGTCAGTAAAATGAGGACCCAGATTGTTGGGGGCAATATGCTGACTCTGTAAACCGCTTAGAAAGGGCTGTAAAGCACTAAAAAGCGGTATATAAGTCAGACATGTCAATCACAAGGCCCGCGGGATGGATTTGGCCATGGGGATGCCCCGGAGACAGCAAGACACCAGCTTCCGCTGCCCCGGCCCACCCCAGCGCATAGGAGCCGAGCGTGCGAGGGCCGACAATGCCCAGCAGCGGCCACAGCCTGCTCCATGGTGTACTCTGGGGTTTCACAGCCTGCACAGCGCAGGTTTGAGCATTGTGACCACCAGCCCAGCCCTCCAAGCAGCAGGCAGAGACAGGCTTGGGGGGAGGGGAGACACATGATCTGAATGCCCACCTGCTCCATCACACCATCTTTCTTTGCTTGCCCACAGCTTGCCCATCCAGAGCCAGATCATGTGCCTCCCCCCTACATGCCTCTGCCTGCTGCTTGGAGGGCCGGGCCGGCAGTCACAGCTGTTGGACTCATCTGCACTGCACAGGCTGTGGAACCCTGGAGTGCGCCAGCAGAGGGACTGGCAGGCTGAGGCTGCTGTTGGACACCTTCGGCCTCCACACATGGGACGCCCGGAGCAAAGAACAGCCATGGTGGTAACCTACCTTCTCCCTTCAGGCCTGCGGACGTTTCCCTTGGATCGGTCTCACAGACCCAAAGGTTCCACAAACGGAAGGACTGAGAGAGGGCAATGTGCTCAGCTGCCGGACGGAGCCCACAAGATGAGAGGACCCTGGAGCGAGCATCACAGGGCGACGCGACAGGACCTGTTGAGCCCTGCCCAGGACGTGGGGTCATGGATCAGCCAACAATGGCAGGGAAGCCGTTCTCGCAACATGGGGGTCGCACGTCATCGCCCCCTCAGTTTCAATAGTGGCAACAGGTGTGGAAGCATGATGCCCAAGCGGCCCGGCCATGTCACCTCACCACCATTCGGTTCCAGACACACTGGAGGGTGGAGGGTGCAAGGGTCAGCATTGCCAGGGGTGTCCATGGCCTGACACCCTTGGGGGGGGAAAGGGTCAGATGGGACGACCCACCATGCTGTCCATAGGAGTAGCGGGATACCTGCCTGGCTTTGCTTCTCTCTGCACTCTCTGGTGGCAAGGGAGTGACGGAAAAATGCAGCCCCAGGATGCGGGGGGAGGAGTGGGGAGGAGAGCTGTGTGGCCCCCTCCGTCTCCCAGGCCGCGAAACCACCACCTTGTGGCCCACAGCTGGGCTGGTAATGATCCTTAGGCCACCCCTACCCCGCCACCTGCCTCACCTTGCTGCAGCAGCACCAGCAGCCCCATCCAGCAGGAGCCCCACCGCCTTCAGCCCTCTCCCCCGCAGCATGGGAAGCCCAGCCTGGGCAAGGAGAGCAAGCATAGCAGCAGCAGTCTCAAGGAGGCAAGCATGGCTGGGTGTCCCCTTGGGAAAGTGGGCCTGGGCTGTGGGGTCCTGGCACCCCGGGAGCTAAAGGGCTGGGCTGGGTGCCTGCCATCCAGGGCCCCAGGCAGCCCATGCTGCAGCCACAGGCCTCCTAGTGGCCCAAGAGGGTCGGCAAGGCTCCTCCGGTGGATCAGGCCAGGCGCCTGCCTTGGTCCGATCCCCTTCCATCGGAGAACCCTGGGTCCCTTCCCAGTCCTGCCCCCCCCCACAGGAGCCCCCTGACGTGAGTAATGTTGAGCTGGCCATGCCCATCCTGGCCACACCCATCCACCCATGCCCACCCGGCCCAAGGGTAACAATGCTGATGCGGCCCTCAATGAAATTGAGTTTGACACCCCTGTTCTAGTGGATCGAGCTCCACTTCACCACCTCATTTCCTTGTCTGGTAAAAAAAACCCCAAAAAGCATCAAAATTGCATAACTGAGGTGATTTATTTATTATACAAGTTATGAAGAATACTGTGATATGTAGCAGAATAATTATATTCTATTAGGATAGTAACAATAAACCGCCTGCAAGTGTTTTGCTCAGGGACCTTTCTTCTTTTACAAGCAATAAACATTATTGCTACAGATTGTAGATAGAAAGCAGCCACACAACTAACTCACTCACTCATTCTCTCTTCCCCTCCCTCTCTGATTTCAGAATAAGTGGAGACATGTAAGCAGGGGAAAAGATCTGGTTTGCAAGTTAAACCAATATTCACAGAACCCTATAGATTGATTTAAGGTTTCAAACTATACAACAACTCCCAAGCAAACTCCAAGGAAAGTTTCAATACTAGCAAACAATAGCTGACTGATAACTCTCGTCTTGAAAACAGAAGCGTGCAACTTCTGTCAGCTTACAGACCATACCATACTTGTATGGCAAGGGCTGTGCTCCAAAAATAGAAGAGACGAAAATCAATTGTGGTAGAAGGCATGGGGGATTTTTATAGGCATTCAATGCTTAACTCCTTTTTGCCTTAAGCCTTTCTCAAATTCTTAATTCTAAGTGTGGTTCCTCTTGAGAGGGCTTCAGTTGATCTTCCAGTCTTTGAAATAGGAGAGACTATGCATTAAGTGTTATGTGTTAAGAGTGTTACCTCCCTTCCAGTTCACTTATGTTGGAAAGCATTCTCTGGATTCAATATATTCAGGTCTTGGAAGGTATTTTTGCACTGATTCCGCCACTCAACTCACTGCAGTGTGTGTTACATTCAGATGCTGCCTCACATTTGCCAAACAAGTTATTCCATATCCAACTTGGCTAAGATTTACTGGACTCAATATTTTGGGTTCACACAGTTCACTGAGTCATAAATAAACAACGGAGGGTGGTGTTGCATGACGAATTCTTGCAGTCTATTTTGCAGTTCAGTGTGTCAATTGAACAAAAACTCACGGAAGGCTCTTGGCAGCAGTCAAAAGTCTCTTATGAAGAGTGTCTTTGTACTTTGCAAGGTAAAGGGTAATTATGAGCAGGTGAAGGAGAAGTAAAATGTAAGCTCCAACTAGGGCTGCAAAACCCTCACTGAGTTCAGAGACTTGAATCCATTTCTGACTGGCAAAGATAAACAAAATGAGACCAACAGGCAAACTCACACTGCTAATAGACAGAAGAATCTGAGCCACTTTCCATCCATCTCGGTCTCTGAAGCACAGGGCCTGCTGCATGACTGTAGTGGCAGTGAAGAGACACAAAACTGGACTGATGTATACACAGACCCTTGATAGCACCAGTGCAACCTCACTGATTCCCAACTTCTCCATTTCTCTGATCATAAGGCAATCCAATTCTGCTTTTTGATTCCACAAACAGAAATTGTAGAAGCCAATCCTTTTGGTGGGAAGATTGATGATATTCCCAGCTTCCCAGACAAGGGCATAAAATAGCAAAACATTATAACCAATGGCAAGGGAGAAATTACTCAGGTACAAGAGGCAGGAGCTGTAGGTTGATTCTCTTAACCCTTTAATGAATTCAACAATGTTTTTTTGGAACTTCAGCTGCATTGTCCACCTGAATACCTAACAGAAGAAAGTAAACAGTCAGGTTGGATTCTAGGAACTATGTCTCCACTTTGTCACATACTTCCCAAGTGTCAATTGGTAGATTTACATGATACACAAGATCATTCACACTCCTGGAAAGCTTTGAATGCTGCCACTGAGCCTTTCAAAGGTTATTAAAAATTGTAATTTGTAAATTATAAAAAGCAATGCATACTATAGAAATGGAATGAATTCAAATGTTTTTAATTTGCTTCTGCATGCTTCCAACAGAGCTTTCAAAGACCAAGTCTAGCTCTTAGCCCTATACTGTTAACAAAATATTCCAAATGTTATCAACTTGTAATGTTGGAATTTTTTCCCCAGTTCCTTTTCCCAAGCCTGTTAAGAAATATTATACTGTTGGATATATATATATATTTTAAAAGGGGGGGAAAGGTAAAAAGTTATACAATTAGGCATGTTAAAAAGAAACAAATAGTTATCCCCTCTCATATTTCATAATCCGGTGTTATGAGTAACACAAGCTGGTGTTACTCAGATTCCTATTTTGAATTTTAACGGTCGTAGTCTATAGCCAGTAGATATGTTGTGGATTAAGGAAACTAAAACCTAGCACATTATGAAGATTGTAAAATAAATGGTAGAAAATTCACAACAGCAACAAAAGACGCTTTTTCAGAAGATGCCTGGAAAAACTAGAATTCACTACAAGATTTACTAATGACCGATAGCATGAATTTTTTTAAAGAGGGGATTATACAAGTTCCTAGATAATAGGTATATCAATATTCAGTTATATGTTACTTCCAGTTTCATAGGCAATATGTCCCTTACAGCAAGAGCAGCTGAAGCAAATCATAACATTTGTTGGCTTCTTCTGGTGTGATTCATGGTGGCTCTTATATTTGGGTATTGATTAAACATGCTTCCTTTACAAGGTAGAAGAAACACGTGTACAATACGTATTACACCCTTCTCCTTCGAATTCAGTAGACAAAGAATGCTCTTTAGGTTGAGGATAAGATTGATCGGTGAACCGCATTAAAAATGCAACTTAAGTCATATGCACTAAAAGAGAAACAAATCTACTCTTCAAACTATGATGAACATATCTAAAGTTGCAAGATACATAACATTCAAAAATATGTTTACATATATGGTTCTTTGTTCCTGGTCGTTTTCTCACTACTGATTTACAGCATCTTCATAGCATCATCCAGCCGTCCTTAAAACACAATAAAAATTGTCCTCAATCTTCAATTTTATGAAGACTTGCCAAAAATCTGACTCAGCTGGGATAACTCTTGAAGATGCTGTAGTTCAGGGGTGTCAAACTGCCAGCCCGCAGGCTGGATGCATCATGGGAAAGCCGTGCCTCCGGCAAGGGGAAAAAAGTCGTGATATGTTGCGACAGGTCATGTGACGCGGCGAGTTTGACACCCCTGCTGTAGTTCAATGAAGAAATGATTTAAGAGAGGAAGTTTTGAAGGGGGAAAAACCCTACTGCCTTGATACACCTCTGAGACCAAAAGATTGGAGCCTAGAACTCTTGATCTCCTAAAGCAGGGTGAAGAAAGAGTGTTTGAAACAAAGGGAGGAATACCTTAGTTTACAATGAAGAAGGATTTTTAATTTGCTAAGCAACTTTCATGAGACTGGGCAACAAAGGACAAAATAAAAGCCAATCTGTGGAAGAATTAATTTGTAATTCAGCATAATTTTAAAACAGAATGGTACAAATATTATCTATTAATTTTGATTTGGGGGGGTAGGAAAAAAGATCTGAAACTCAAAATAGGGTGATAACGCAATCTCTTTGGGGAAAAAGTGAGGCTTATAATAGTGTATATGAGAAAAAGATGCCAGTCCCTGTATAATAAAAGAGTAAGCTGGTAAGAAAGAAGAAAAATTAAATATTAGGATAGAAAGAAGGAGCATATGACAGAAACTGGAAACAAAATGTATGTGGAGGACTGAGACTGAAAAACAGTGGGAGCCAGAAAGAAGATGGAGAAAAAGTACATAGAAAATTGGCTGGAGAAGCTGGCTCAAGTAATAGTAAGATTTATTTTTTATCTTATCTTAATATTTTTATAAAGTGGCAGACAGACATACCTAATATTCTTTCCTCTTCCTATTTTCACCACAACAACAAAGTGTGTCAAGTATGTTGGGCTGAGAGAGAGTGAGTGGCCAAAGTACTCAGCTAGCTTCATAGAATGGGTAGTCCTTGACTTATGACCACAATTGAGCCCAAACTTTCTGTTGCTAAGTGAGACAGTAGTTGAGTGAGTTTTGCCCCATTTCATGATCTTTCTTGTCGTATTTAAGTAAATTACTGTAGTTGTTATTAACATGGCATCCCCATTGACTTTGTCAGGTTACAAAAGCTAATCACATGATCCCAGGACAATGCAACCGTCATAAATTTGAATCAGTTGAGTCAGTTGTCAAGCATCTGAATTTTGATCATGTGACCCTGGGGATGCTGCAATGGTCATAAGTGTGAAAAATGGTCATATCACTTTTTTTAGTGCTGCTGTAACTTTGAATGGTCACTAAATGAACTGTTGTTAAGTCAAGGATGCAGTCTAAAGAGGCCATACAAGACACACAAAAAAGCAGCCCATATTCACACCCTCTTAAGCTCTAATACAAACAGCAATTCTCTTCCTAAAAATCAGCTAAGGCTTTTCAGCAATTAAAGAAGCTGTAGTAAGGGAAAGTGAACCCAGTCTTTGGGCAAAGTGGTCTGAAGGAAGATTGGTAAACTAAATAATCTTGGGAGCTTTGAGGAGACTTGCTCAATGGCATCTCGGCCAACAACTGCCAAATCTTAACAGTCCTTAAATCAAACACAATTCTGAACTGTTTGTGATCACTTCAAGGCACGATATTGGTGAAATAGCCACGTTGGAATGCATCGAAGAAGAGTCGAAAGAAAGAGTGTCCAAAGGATACCCAGGATCTCTTCAGCCGCTTTCCCGGTGCCTGAGAAAGCAGCCATTTCCACTAGGACGCCCGTGCCTTGCAGAGTTTGGGACAACTTGCAGGCAACACGCAATCGAATCCATCCGCGGAGCATTAGGATCAGGAAGGGTGGGTTAAAGACCTCGTTCGCGATCTTCTGACTTAGTGCGATAAGAAAGGGAAGGAGGTACCTAGACCGCTTGCTTTCATTTGGGGTGCCCGCCGCTGAATCCAACTCAATTGGAAAACCCGCAGGGCCTCCGTTCTCTTGACCGAGTCAGAAGGCGTCGGAGGCAGAGGTTGCCAAATATTGTAAAATAACCGAGAAGAATTAAAGAGCGATAGAGTCCATATCTCTAATTCCATATTACAATGGCCCTACACCTCGTGAACCCTTAAAGTAGCCAGGAATAGTAATAATGTTAAAAAAGGTTATTTACTTGCCGGCGAATCCGAAGGCATGAAAATCCTACCGCTGGAAGCGATCCTCCTCAACGATCAGGCTCGCTTTCAGTCTTGTTTATTGCTTGGTCTGGTTTTGCTTCTCGGATCGCGTGCTAACGTCAGCGGATTTCCCTTTCGTTTTCGTTTTCGTCCGATTTCTCTGCACCGGGGTGCTTTCCGAGCAGAAGGTGTGGTCTGTTGTCCCGTGGCTGTTTTCCTTCATCATCCGAGGGAATCCAGTCGATTTTTCAGAAACTACTGTTCGACATTTTGTTTATGCTTCTTAAATATTCATGCGTCACAGCTTAGGCACGCCTCTGTAAGGCTCATAGAATTATGAATATTGTAATTGTGATGAATTTATCGAAACAGATCATTAGAACATGAAAGTTTGGTAACGAAGCAGAAATGATCCTCGCGTTGTTTTAGGTTTTGTTTCGTCGTTCCTGGCTTTCGCAATACACAAAGCGCCAACGATTTCAAATTTCAGAGCAAGCCTGTAATAAGCGTTTCATAAGTACAAAGAGGACAGCAGTTATTATTAGTCGTAGGGCGGAGGTCTAGGCTCGTGTTTCTCGACCTCAGCAATTTTAAGACGTGCGAGCTTCAACTGCCAGCATTCCTCAGCCTGCATGAAGTTAATAATAATAATAATAATAGTAAAGTTGGAAGGGACCTTGAAGGTCATCTAGTCCAACCCCCTGCTCAGGCAGGAAACCCTATACCATTTCGGACAAATGGCTGTCCAGTCTCTTCTTAAAAACTTCCAGTGTTGGAGCATTCACCGCTTCTGGAGGCAGGTTGTTCCACTGGTTAATTGTTCTCACTGTCAGGAAGTTTCTCTTTAGTTCTAGGTTGCTTCTCTCCTTGATTGGTTTCCATCCGTTGCTTCTTGTCCTGCCTCCAGGCGCTTTGGAAAATAGCTTGACTCCCTCTTCTTTATGGCAGCCCGTGAACATCTTAAGTTGAACATCTTAAAATCGAGAAACACGTTTTTTTCAAAACGGCCCAGTTAAGTAACGCACTCCAGTATTCCCCGGGTGACGCTCTTTGCAGGAGAGAGGGTAGCGATTGGGATGCGTTTGCGCAATCGCACCTAACACATTGCAGTGCTTAAAAAAGATTTCCTCTAGAAGCCGAAAAAGCAACTGCTTGCAAACACCAATAGGAAGAGAACAGAAATTCTTATCGCACAGTGTGCCTTCGTGCACGTATACAGAAACGTGATGCAATGCACAAAATGCACAAGGTTCATTATTTCTAGGCAGTTATTACAATTGCCAATTGTAGGCTTCCTTCTGTTTTTTTTTATTTCGGAAGGTTGGGATTTTGTTGCTTGCTTATCAGGGTTTTTCTTTTAAGTAGTCCAATTAGAACAGTGTTTCTCAACCTTGACAACTTTAAGATGGGTGGACTTCAACTCCCAGAATTCCCCAGCCAGCAAATGCTGGCTGAGGAATTCTGGGAGTTGAAGTCCACCCATCTTAAAGTTGTCAAGGTTGAGAAACACTGAATTAGAACAAACAACCAGATTTTTTAATGCTTTCATGAAGGCAATAGCCATATATAATTTCATTGCTGTCTTATTGTTCACGATCCTTTCACATAAGATCTGAAAAAGCTTACTAAATTCTAAAAGTCATCCATTCATGCAGCCTAATTTAGGTGTATAGGTAGTACTCATTTTCCGACCATAATTGTGCAATTGGCTACCAATAGTTAACAACCTGTGCAATTGGCTAACAATAGATAATAACCATAATTGGAACTGACAACTCCTTGGCTAAGTGACACAATCATAAAATGAAACATCATGTGATTATGCCAACATCAGTTCCAGCAGCAGTTGTTAATCATATCACTTGACTGCAACTTATCTCTTCTTGCCAGCTTCCCACTGACTTTATTTTTTCAAAGCCTGCTATGAAGATTGAAAACGGTGATCATGAGACCATGGGGACAACTTTGACAACTGGTTGCAAATCTTTTTCAGCACTGTTGTAACTATGAACAGTAACTATGGTCAGTAAGCAAGGTGTCCTTTCTTGTTATAGCTATGTCCACCCAGCGTAGAAACACCTGCTAAGATGAAATCTTGGTGTTCTTTATACTTTTATATCTGAAAATGAGCAAGTTTACTTTGCTGTTGTGTTGTGGGTACAGAAATGGAAATGGGACATTTGATTTTCCCTCCTATCTAAAAAAATCTGAAGTAGCACCCTGTTCAGACAAAAATACTTAATTTTACTGATTTTTCAAATTTTTGTATTTTTAATTAAACTCTTCTCTTCTATAGGCATAATCTGTTGAGTCACTCCAGCAGCACATAACTGATGAATTGTTTCAAACATTGACTATCTTAATTGCTCTTCCTCATTCAAGTCTCTTATTATCTATTTTTTCTTCTCTTTTTATAGTAATGTAGAGGTATATATTTTTTAAAAAGAGAAAGAAGAAAAAAATCATTAGTGCTCCAATGGGAAGGACTTTAAGTGAAAATTAACAGTTAGTGATCCTAGCCAAGATCAATAGGAAGGAATAAAATGGACTAACTAATATGTAGTCATATCATTTTCACTGAAAATTCCAGAATCCTGAATTGTGGTTGTGCATGAACACTCTGTCCTGCAGGCCACATTTGACCCTTGGTTGTCCCTGTCTGGTCCACATTGTTGGCGGGGGAGGGGGCAGTGCCAGGAGACAGGGTGGTGGCCTTTCACAACAGTCCCAATTTCTCATGTAGCCTCTTGGGAAAAATTAATCACCCACCCCTATTTTTGGAGCATCTTGCCAATGCAAAAAACCCTTGGTTGGATATTAGAAGTTTATTCAAATGCTAACTGGAGTTTCCATTTTTTTTTCTAATTCCAGGTAATTGTGCGAAAATAATGCTGTAACATGTCATGTGGGGGAATTCACTGGAGACAGCAATTATGTTTGGAAGAATTAGTAAACGTTGGTTGGATACTATCAAACATGATACCAGCCATAGCATAGAACAACTCAAAGTAGTAGTGCAAGACTGGAAGATGTGGAACAACCTCACCCATAGAATCGCGAAGAGTCAGACTTGACTGAATGCATAATATTATCATCATTGCCTTAGCAGATTACAAAAATTAAGGAGTGGTTTATAAGCAACTATAAGTATTAGAACATAAGTTTTCATGGATGGGATTTTGGTTCACTGTATCCATCAGTTGGCAGGTACACATAATTATCGAACATACTTGGAATTTACTGCAGAAGCAGCTCTTTCAATACCCTGTTTTTAAAGGGGCAGTAAGCATATTATACTGTCTTGAACAAGAAAAAGAAATCTAAAAGACAAGCAACCCAGGACTTCAAACATCCTTGTATTGCTGTTTTCATGAAGGACTGAAGGAATGGCAGCATGTAAGGTCTGCAGACACAAAACAAACTTCATTAGAGGTTAAGATTTATATGATCTGAAGAAAAACCAAATTATTTGGAGCCTTCCTCAGAGTGAGATACATCCAGATCTCTGGGAGGCAGCCATTCCAGAGAGTGGACTGCTAGGTTGTGGTGGTAGTAGTTTTTATACATTTATTTTCAGTTCCATCAATGAGTGCTAATAAGCAAAAACTGATGTCTTCCAATACAAAATTGGTCACATGGCAGTTATTTGTAGATTTGACATAATTAAGCTGGAGTTAATTGGAAACTGGGAATAGTCAATTATAAGGATTGTCCAAGACATTTATATACAGCGATGTATATTTTGCCTCTTCATAAGAAACATGGAGTTAATGACAGCAGCCTCAAATTGGAAAAATAACCTTATTTCCTCATGCATTCTTATCCGTTAAGACAAACCCCAAAGAGAAACCATTCAAGTTTATACTTTTTTTCTTTTAAGATTGAACACCTTATGGAATGAAAATCCTACCCTTGTTTAATATGATTCAGCCCTGAAAAACCCAATTCCCATTTCATTTTTTCCAAATCATTTTCTTGAATTATTATATTTAGAAATGAAATGATTCAACTTGCTTCCCTGTGCAATTGGCTAGCAATAAAAATAAATAAATCAGATCATATTTTAGTTTTGTTTATATTAATCACAGCCACCTCCCTCCCAGATGTTCTAGTTTGTATCCAATAGTTCAATCTTGTAAAAGTGCAACTGCTCTGCCTGCAACATCTTCCCAGTCCGATGTCTATAGAGGTAAAGCAGGACGCTCAGATGGTGTCACTACTGAGTAGTCTGAAACGGCACAAAAGAAACTGCATCTCGTGTTACGCATGAAAAGAAATCCTCTCAGTTGTGTTTGGAAGATCTTGCCCTGAAGGTCTGTCACTTTTACATCTCTTAGGAAAAAATTTCCTTTCACTCTGGCAAAGCAGGTTTGTTGTTGGCATTTTTGGCCTGCTTTGCAGTAGAGACCTGGATGTTTCATCATCTTCAGAATGTTTCATTAAAATTGTTTTGTTGGGCCCTTTTGCAGTCAGTAAAGTAGCAAGGCGTGGTCTGCACAAATAACCAAAACAAAGTAATTTTAAAGGGCAATACCTCAAAATTAGTTGCTAGTTATATAGTTACTACATGTTTCATAACATGCTTCTTGATAATCCAGGCTGCCCAGCACAACAGAGGCCATGCTTTTTTTTTTTTTTTAGAATCAGTGAATCAGGATGTAAAACATGGAAGCTACTTATTGAGAAAAAATACAAAATCTTAATATTAAGAAGTATATTTTTTCTTCCTGACTTGCTGTGACCACATTCTTTATTCAGTGAATTCAGAATGCTTCTTTATATTATTTACAAAATAATTCAATTGAAACTTGCTTCAGTTAAATATTTCTTGATATGGAATTCTACTGTTTTGCTGAATATTCTGTTTTAATCTATTTCTGCCCATTGTTACATAAACTTGACTTTCTCATTAAAAAAGCAATCACAAAACAATTTTGGATGGAAGCATTAAAAATCAGGCTGAATACATACTACACTTTACTTACCGGTGTCGGCTCAAGGATTTTAGATGTCGTTCACTCCTCAAATATTTTTCAGTGGGCTGACTGTATTTTCCCTCAGACATCAAAGGAAGGGATAGCAGCAAATCTTGTGTTATAGAAGATCTGTTCAGTTTAAGATCTTCTTCACAGTTCCCTCCACTAATTCTGTTAGTTTTTGCATTTCTTGCTGGTGACAGTTCCTTTACTTTATCTTTGCTTCCAGGTAAAATACTTTTTGGTGGCTCAGGGAAACCTGTGATCAAAAATAAGTAAATCTGAGATAATGTTTCCCAAGATCAGTTTAACACACAATTCAACAATTTAGTCCTAACATGTTTTACATGATTTTTTTCTGTGATATATTAATAAATTTACATTAGCCTATCCTACAGAAGAAAAGCTCCCATCCTGCAGTATCCTTCTTTCAGATCTTGTAGTCATGTGAGTGTATATTTTGTTATACTCAATTAGGAAAAAATGTATTTCAAGTTGATAGTTGTGTCATAAATCATTATGTTCATTTACGATAGTTCAAGCTGATACTTTAAAAATTTCCCAAATCCCCTTCTCCTATGAATAAAAGGATTATGTGCTCTGCAGAGAATATGTGCATGTCTGAGAGAAAGGGGGAGGGAGGGAGGGAAGGAAGGAAGTTTATTTGGCAGTAATATGGAAGCGACATGTCATTGCTGAGGGTTTTTTTTCTCTAAACTTCCCAGTTTAGATTTCAGCACAACCATTTCAGCCAACTATTATTCTGTCCCAGCTTAATTTTTAATTCTTTCAAAGTTTTAGAATATCAGTCCTCATAAAGTTTTTCAATTGATAACTCTAAATGGGATATCACTCCCCCAGACAGAATTGGTGTGCAATCTATGACCTTGACCTTTCAACAAATCCATCATGTATGCAAGTTTCATCTATTCCTGGAATACGCTCTGCTTGTAGTAATTTTAAACTGAACAATGGGGACAGTGAGTTAATTGATACAGAACATTCCTGTCCCTGGCAATCTAAAAATTATAGGGTTATCAGTGCATGTAACATAGAGGTGTGTGTGGATAAGAATATTACCTAGCAGTCAAGCAAAATCAAGCTTTTAATAGTGAGTGCCATACCAAGTGCACTAATCAAACAGGTGGTAAGAAAATAGGGGAACTCAGGCACCACACAGGTTATGTAGAAAGTAAACACAGGGTCAGTCATAAGGACTCTATACACTAACGCACAGAGTATGAACAATAAACAGGGTGAACTAGAAATTCAGGAAAATGAGGGCAGATATATTGTTGCCATTAGGGAAATTGGTGGGATGAAACCCACAAATGGAACACACAGCTAGGAGGGATTTAAATTATTTAAAAGAAACAGACCAAATAAAAGAGGAGGTGGAGTTGCTCTCTATATAAGAAATAACTACATCTCTACAGAAATAGAGCACAACAATGATGAAAACTGTCTCAAATGCATTTGGGTCAATATAAAAGGGGGGAAAAAATAACATTGCCATAGGTGTATACTATAGGCCACCCAACCAAACAGAGGAAAAAGATGAACATTTTGCTATTCAGCTAACTAAGGTATGTAGGAAGCACATCACAATAGTAATGGGGGACTTTAATTACCCTGACATCAACTGGAGACAAACTCTGCACCAAGTGAAAGATCAAACAGATTCCTGACAAATCTAGCAGACAATTTTGTCTGCCAAAAACTAGAGAAGGGAACTAGCCATATTGGACCTAATTCTCACTAACAGAGATGAAATGATGGAAGTCCTAGTGGACAATCACTTAAATATGAGCCATCAGTGTGCTGCAGCTGCCAAAAAGGCCAACACAGCGCTGGGCTGCATTAACAGAGGGATAGAATCAAGATCATGTGAAGTGTTAATACCACTTTACAATGCTTTGGTAAGGCCACACTTGGAATACTACATCCAGTTTTAGTCACCACGATGTAAGAAAGATGTTGAGACTCTAGAAAGAGTACAGAGAAGAGCAACAAAGATGATTAGGGGACTGGAGGCTAAAACATATAAGGAACAGCTGCTGGAATTGGGTATGTCTAGTTTAATGAAGAGAAGGACAAGGGGGGACATGATAGCAGTGTTCCAATATCTCAGGGGCTGCCACAAAGAAGAGGGAGTCAAGCTATTTTCCAAAGCGCCTGAAGGCAGGACAAGAAGCAACGGATGGAAACTAATCAAGGAGAGAAGCAACCTAGAACTAAGGAGAAATTTCCTGACAGTTAGAACAATCAGTTGGAACAAGCCTCCAGAAGTGGTGAATGCTCCAACACTGGAAGTTTTTAAGAAGAGACTAGACAGCCATTTGTCTAAAATGGTATAGAATTTCCTGCCTGAGCAGGGGGTTGGATCAGATGACCTCCAAGGTCCCTTCCAACTTTATTATTATTATTATTATTATTATTATTATTATTATTATTATTATTATTATTATTATTATTATTATTATTATTATTAATGCCTTAGTCATTTTCCATTTGGATTTCTTCAACATACTCTGCATAGAGTTGCCCTTGAAATGTATTTGGAAGTTTCAAATGGTCCAGAGTGTAGCAGTGGCCAGTACTGGATGCATTAGTTTCGCCACTGTGACACAGCTGTTGCATGACCCACACTGGCTTCCAGGTGCAATTAAGGTGCTGGTTATACCTTTAAAGGCCTATAGGGCCTTAATTGAGGGTCACCTGTATCCAGTAGTTTTTGTTCATCCACTGCATCCAATAATGCTGTGTGTTTCAGGCTCCCTATCTGAAACTATATTCTGGAACCCAAGATAGGAGACATGTCTTCTCTGTAATAACACCTGTTCTATGGAACATCCCCCTCTCCCTGAGATCCACATGGCCCCAATCTTCCAGAAGGCTGTGAAAACCTAGTTTTTCCTTCAGGCATTAGGGCCAGACTGCTAATGGATCCTGATAGACATGTTTTGGGAACTGAGTATGATGCCTCAACTCTCATAATCTACTATGATTGCATTTAATTGTATTTTTTGTTCTGTTGTTATATTGTTTCTTATATTCTTGCTACCAACCCAGTTATTTAAGTTGGATAGGAAGGAAGGAAGGAAGGAGGGAAGGAAGGCTGTACAGTCCACAAATTCAGCTTGTTTAGTTTCATAATTTAATAAACCACATAGCAGAGTTCCACAATGAGTAAAAATCTCTGTAGGAGAGCTGCAGATTACTAGTACTTCTTTGCATATTTCCCCCACAAAATTTTTCATGTACAACTGAAAGAATAGGTGACATAAAATAATAATAAATTAATAACTAAAAATGGTATTCTAAAATCTTAACTCATCTATATATTTAAGTCTTAGAAACTGACTTCCATTGTCATCTATTTTCAGACACCTATTCCACAAACAGATTTGTGAGGAAATATAAGAACTGGATGTACTACCATAGAAGCCATTCACTCATCATCAAAAGCATATTTCAAAGTCTTACTTTGAAATAAGTAATGATATAACTATGTGAATTATTAAAAATAAATTTAAATCATATTGTTAAATTTAATTGATACTCTGTATCAGTCTTTTCAGGCATGTCTATGTATGTGAGGCTAATTCATTCTCCATGAACTCTTTTGAGCAGTACTGGAAATACATTCCATAAAGTAGCTTAGGAAATTATATTTTATTAAACGTTCTTCAGATTTTAAATATTGGCTTTTCCCACCCAGAATACAAATTTATATTCAAATATTATTTCCAGTTATTCCTTTCTACTGAGAAGGAGTAAATGAGAAAGAGAAAATACAATATGAATAAACGTTTTATTTTTGTATCATATGGTAACCCATTCAACCCTACAATTTGCTCTATCTCTCTGATTTTGGCAAATTGACAGGCAGGTTAAAAATGGCTGATCCTGGGCATATGTGTTTTACTGTTATACTACTTTTGCTATTATTGACTCTGTAATTGATTAACTTAACTGAATATTCTCCATCAATCAAGAGAAAATATTCAGATTAAAGTTAATGTTCCTTTTCCTAAGAAAGATAATGAATTGACTTAAATATTTTATGTATCAAGTTGTTCATTGAGACTTGGGAGACTTTAAGGTCCAGCCTTTGATAATATACAAGTAAACCAGCCAATGTATTTTAGAAATTTTGATGAGATATAAACCCATTGTAATTGATAACGTTTTAATTTCCAATATGAGAAAAACCTTTGATCTCTGGAGATGCTTTTTCTCTGCAACTATTGGTCTTTCCAGTTTGATACTTTTCTAATCTCCAGGTTGCAGCTTTGTTATATGGAGCATTTAAATGGATTTCTTGAGCTAGAGCAATATTTTGTAGTTCTTTTTCTTCTAACTGTAGTGTGACACAGTCCCTTCCAGGATGATTTTCTGCTACTGGCTGAGACAGATATAAAGAGCTGAAACAGATTAAGATTAACCATCTCAAAACTCAGAAGAAAATAACATGCAAAATGAACCAATTCTTAAAAGTTATACAAAAAGGATACACTTCAAAAATGTTGTGTCTTCTGAAATATACAGTCAACTCATTTTGTGAAATAGTACTTATATTTACATTTATGCTATATTTGGATATGAAAGATGTGACTTCTTGTTATGTTTCTTCTTTAAAATAAAGTAAAATAATTGTTCTGCTGGCAAATATTTCTTTTCTTTTTTATAAGCAGATTTTCCATATTTCACTTTAGATAACTGGGTTTTTAAAGTTTGATAAAAACTAAAATGACTTTATAGCATTCAGTATTTTTCAGGTTAGAAAACTTATTATCGTGGCAGAATCATAAAACTGATGATTAAAAAGCTTAATAAATTAAAACCTAGTCATTACCGCTTGGGCTACAATTCCTTTAAAATGTGAAATTATGAATAATCTACTGGTTATATCTGCACTAATAAAATATCATTTCTAAAATAAGAAGTGTTCTTCTCTCTCTTTACATTATATGTAATGTCATGGCAAGCTTTATCCCAGAAGGGAACACTCCAAACTTCAATATGAAAGACAAGAAATTCTTTTAGAATGATGTTTTACTCTTTGCAGATTATTACTTCTAATATAAATTATATGGAATTTATTGCTCAGTTAATTAAAGTGAACTATTTGATTAAAATAGATCCACTAAGTAGTACTTGCACCCAAACTTGCAATGTAAAATTTATTGTAAGAGAGAATGATAGAAATATTAATTAAAATAAAGACTACAGATAATAGTTTTATAAAGCACATGTGCAGTCTTATATTTGACTGATCCATATTAAAGTAAATTATATTCTATAAGATTTTTCCCAAGGTTTAATATGAGGGTTCCAGAAATCACTAATAACAAATATATAGTTTTCCTACCTTGGGTGACTGTCCAGTTGTATGAGTGATGCTACAAATAAGAGATAAAAAGACAATATACAGTATAATTGAAAATAAACATCCTTATTTATTACATAGATTTCAGTCCTTTCTTATGTTAGAATGAAAATCATTATTCTCTTCCCTGGTAGAGAACCGCATTAATATTTTTGATTACGGATGTAGTTTTTGTACAAGGGAATAATTCTGCTTATGTTCATTCGCATCCCCCCTTGTTTTAAATATTTTCAAGATACTATAAATCAAGTTTTAGACTCTTATTAAAAAAACAATTTGATTTATTAATGATTTACAATGAGACAAAATTGGACTTGGCCTAAATAGTTCCTTCCAATTCTATGATTATATAAAAATACAGAATTTATGAAAAAAATGGCTCACAAAAATTGTGAAAATCAAAATTATTGTGATATTTTGGATTATTGTTGAAGAACTCAAGCAATTAAGCACATTCGTTTTTGTATTTGAGGTTAACTAGTCTGGATATAATATGTAATATTCAAAAAGTGATCTGTTATTTCTGTATAGTGTAACTTCCTTTTTTATTTATATTTATAAAATGGATATTAACAACTGACAATGGTTTAGCTGTTAAGCCTCATATTTGAGGAAATAAGATGAAAATCCAATACCCTACTTAGCCATTAAGCTCTACACTGGGGCTTGGGCAAGTTGTGCAAGTTGTAACTTAGCACTGGATAGTTGTCTGGATAAAAATAAGAAAATTCCTAAGCACCTCTATAATGTTTGATGGTTTCTAATATCTACAAAAATGTTACATTATATTAATCTGTATGTCACTCATGCACTGATTTTGACTAAAATGACTTAGTCTTTCCCAGTCTTTTGGTTGTCCGGAGAACCAGTAGCCTAACACATTTGAAGGGTGTCAAGTTACAGAAGGCTTCTATAACTGGCTGTAATTGCCATCAGATTTGTCTATGAAAGGAAATCACCGTATAATATTTGCTATACCTGCATGGTTGATCACTTCTAATTATGTATTGCCCCCCCTTCCCCTTCTCATAATATTGTGCTACAGTACTTAACTTTTTCGATGGATGCTTACTTCCCTCTTCATATTTTCCACTCTAGGAAGTCGGCAACCCAGAAGTGCACTATTTCTTCTTGGTGTATTGCACATTTGGTTATGGGAAGTAGGAGGTAGGAAAAGTCTCTGGGAAACAGCGTGCTTAAAAGGCTGGGCTAGATCCCATCCAAAATCTGTTTATATAAAAGACCAAACCCAGACATAGTACTACAATATAATCTTGACATGATAAAAAATTGAGAGTATCAAATATAGTTAAGGAATGTATCTAGCTCTTAAGTGCCTAGATTTACTCTCTCATATATACAATCTTATTAACTACAAAATGCTGAATGTGTGCACATTTATGTACAATTAAGTGAACTGACAAATGTCACTACCAGTAAGCTTGAAAATTAAGATAAATGCAAAATCACTTTAATGAATTTAATTTGTAAAACACTACTACTATAATCCTATTTTGTTTTTTCTCTCATACTCATAAAAGCTGGAAGCATAATTATTTTATCAAAAATCTCAGGTGTCTTAAAAAAATCCTAAGGATCTTCAAAATTGCAAACAGAATTATGTCAAATGTCAACTTGATTTTGTAAGTCTGTTCTGGGCCCATAAAAATGGTACCAAACACTTAACACTTTTCACTTCTTTCACGCCACATTCCACTTCTGCCCTCAGTCAAGAGAATTTTTCCCCAAAATATTGCTAAGGACATTTTTACCTCTCAGCATTTTAGGGATTAAATTTAATTTGGACATTTTATGTAAGTTTATGTTTTGTAACTAGGGTTGCCAGGTGTCCACTATTTGAGTGGACAGTCCACTTTTTTCACATTATGTTCACTATTTTTTTCACAAAATAGTGGACATTTTTTTTATTCAAAAGCTTTATGATGAAATGGTACGTAATCTAAAGCTGTACAGTCTACTTTTTTTACTACTTAACCCCCCCTCCCCGTTTGTCCGCTATTTTTTGGAAACAGACCTGGCAACCCTATCTGTAACAGTATTTATTCCTGAGTAATTTTTCTGTAGTATTTAACTTGTCACACTGGACTCTAATTCTCAATTTGCCTATGGAAATCAAGAATCATAGTCCACTTCCACTGCAATAAAATGCAGAATTAAAAGAATTTATGCTTGCAAACTGTGACTAATCCTAGGAACAAGCACTGTTGAAACAGCTTGACTACAAATATGTATTTCATAGTCATAATTTCACTATATTGTACTGCATGTAAATATACTGTTTATACATGCATTTCTATCTTAATCATATTTATAAATGAATTACTCACTTAATCCTTGCTCAGGGAAATAATGACTCAGATACTGAATAGTATATTTACTTGGCACATTAGGTACAGCATCTGAGAAAAAGAAATTAAAGACATGAAAGACGATACAGTAACGGATTTGTTGTGGCCATAGACATGATGATAAAAAATGACATCCTATCTCTTGTACTTGTATCCCAATAATGGAGGAAAAATGTGATTCACAAAGTTTGTGTTCGGATGTCATTACACACATTTCATTCCTTTCCTCATCATCACAGAAGCCTATGGCTGTTGCTTTTATCTGTATTGATAAAACATAGATAAATGAACAAAATGAGGCACCTTGTTAACTGGCAAATGCTTATATAATAGGGTACATGACAGAGACCAATGGATGTATCCTTTATTGTATTATAATGTTTATGTTGCTGTGTTGTTTATGGGCAACAAAACAGTAAGTATCCTCAATGTCTTCCAGCTTACATTCCGTGAAACATAACTTCATGCATCTGAATTATACTATAGTTTATTAAGATTTACTGTATATGATAAGACATTTATTATTTGTTAATTTTTATGGTACCATAAAATTTGATAACTGCCCAGAGTTGGGCTCCATATAAATTTAACAGATGATGATGATGATGAACATAAAATATAAATCCTCCAGATAAATTTGTTTAAAAGTATGTGCATTTTCCTTTGCTTTCCAAGAGGTAAAGAGAGATACTGGGATAATTCTTATATAGCTTCACACAATTAATATTAATTAGTATACCCTAAGAAAAAAAGGCTTATTTTGATAAATAAATGAACACAAGCGACAGGTTTATGTGTTTGCTTTCTATCTTTGCATTGCTCCTTCCCATTCCTCCACATTATTTAATATATGAGGGAGCTCTCAAAGTATACTGTATATTTGTATACAGTACTGTGCTATAATATAATAATACTGTGTTGTAACAAAATACTATAATATGTTACATTCATACCACAGTGTGTACGCCAGGACACTATGTTTACCAGATCTGGAATAATCCAGAATCTTACATTACAGTTTGAAGGTTATGTAATAATAATTTCAATATTTGAATGCAATGACAATCGACATTTAACAAAATATTTTGAGTGTTAGTCATGATATAGTGAGAAGAGGAAAATAAGGATGTGGCAGTTTAATATGTATTCATATTTACAATTATTCAATTAAGATATAATAATCTAAGCTGGGTCACTGATTAGCCTAAGACATATGATTGATTTTGTGACTTAACAGAACTTTAGCTTCAAAGTTTCAATTCTCTCTCTCTAAAATGCATACACCTTGGTAAAATATCTATGGGACTGGAAATACCCCTAATCCTAATTTTTAAAATATTTTCTTGTAGTATATTTTTCTGAAGAGTCTATTTTATTAAATGTATAAAAAGTTCAAGAAAGTGGTAGATGCATACATACACACACTAAAGGTAACTAAAGAATAAACGAATTTACAGACCTCAAGATATGCTCATCTAGTGTTTTGTAGAACTGGAATGTATCCAGAATGTCTAGCATAGCTATATGCACCATGAGTTTATCAGGAAATTATATGGCAGGTTGGAAGAATCATGTATTTTTTTACATAAAGTTTCCACACTTAATTTCCTATTAAAATACAGAATTGGTAATACAGAAAATGTCCAGTAGATATACTAAGTGAACAATATAAAATATAAGAAGTATGAAAAGAACATTTTAAAATCTTTGTTCAGTCTGGAAGAAACAATTTAATCTGAGAATAAATTCCAGTTCTTCTGTAATCCTTGCCTGCAATTATGTTGGATGGGAATTTAAAGTGAGAGTCAAATGTCCAAAGGGAACATACTATTTTTTTTAATTGTCCAATGCATGTACTCTATAGTGTTAGAGCACATGGTGAATTTACAGATATCATGTCACCAAAACACAATTTCCTCCTTCCTCTCATGATAGCATTGAATCTGCAAACAAGATAGGACTCTAAAAAGGTTTTAAAAATCATCTTTTAAAACGGGCATTTAACAATTCTTGATTGTGTATTTTGAATTTTTAATGTTGTAATGTTTAATGTCATAAAATGACTAAAACGTTACTTTATTACAGTATAGATGTTATTTTTAATATTCTTGACTTATACTCATTCATTCAAATTAAGTTGTAACTACCAGCGGAACCCTCTCCCTCAAACCATAATTATTTTAGGTATGCATTTTATTTTATTCATCACACTTCTACTCTAGAGTCACATAAGTGACTCTAATCTAATCTTTAATACATTTTAAGGGCAATGTTGGTCACTAATGCATGTATTTGCTATTTCATAGCTAAAATAGACCATGGAATTATAAGGACATTATATACAGGATTGGGAAGACTATATAAAATCTAGAACATACCCTATTTATAGTGCACCATGTAACTATCAAAATGTACAAGCTGATAAAAACATTCTTACCTTTTTTAGAGGGGAAAGCCATTTGATCTGCTTTACTTTTTAAAATGGAACTAGTTTCTTTAAACAATTCATGAACCCCTGCTAAAGTCTTTGACTATTAGAGAAAACAGAGACAAATGCATGATTACTATTCTTCCACATTTCTGAACTCCCTCATTTCTTTCTTCATATGTAAAGACTAATTAAAATATGTGATAAATGCCTTTATGGCATAGACTATAAGTAGTCTGGGTATGCTAAATATGGCTGCATCTTTCCTCATTGTTTGACCATAATTCCAATGAATTATGTAGGTACAAATTATAGATGTAGTCTAAATTGAGAGATGAGAGAAACTGAAGACTAATGCATTTGAAGGTTACCAGGTTGAGGAAGAGTGGTTGAAAAAATGGAATGCTTATAGATGAAATATTCTTTCTGTGCATAAAGTCAACATTTTAAAGCATAATCACATCTATTTTATTTTTAATCAGACATAACTGAGTTAATCCACAAAATTATAAAAAGTAACCACGTACCATGCTCTTTTGGAATGAACAACATTGATCAAAGAACAGAAAAGGAGTAGGAAATATTAAGGTAAGGGAACAGAAGGCATGAGCAAAGGGGAAAAAAAACCAAATCTAGTTTATACCAACAGTATACACTACCTGTAAGTCTAGTTTACAGCAATGCCCCTAGACCTCTCTATTTTTGCAAAGTCCTCAATAAAGTCACTCTTCTTGATATATTTGTTTTGCAATTTGATTGTCATACATGGTTGCTATATGATCAAATCACATGAACACACTTTTTGCACATCGGTCATTTTTGTATTTGATCCATAGTAATTCACTTAGCTCCCACTAAGTTCTTTCTTGAACTCAGCTCTTCTTGTTTTACCATACCTACGTGTTAAATACTCCATTTCCAATGCATTCAATTTATTTTTCTTCCCGGCATAACCAACCTTCATTTTGTGTAACAAAATAGGCAGAAGGATATTCTTAAACATAAAAATATCACCTTATTTTGCAATATTGTTGACAACATTGCTTACAATACAACACACAAATGTCTATATGCTTTCCTTTCTTTCCTTGCAATAGCCAGAATATTATTGTAGTGGTGTCTTTTACCAATGTTTGCACATCTTTACAGTTCTTCACTTATTTCCCCAACTTTAATAAACATTCTATAAGGTCACCTATTAGTGAAATTCTATAATGTCATATATATTCATTATTATCGCTCTGCTTTTTCACTATGTATAACTTGCAATTGCTGTCAAATACACTAATTTGATATATTAATTTTCAGAACCATATAATCAATTTAATATTCACTGCAATTCATTCAGACTGTTAACCATCATACACATGCATATACATTCATATCCACAACCAATTCCATTTAAGTCACCATAAGCGTTCCTTATATGGTTATCCCAAGCTTTCAGCATTCCCAAGCTTACCAATGTGACCCCCTATAGTTTTTGCATTTATTCTTGCTATTTTTATCTTTGCAGAGGGGAACAATAATGGCACTATTCCAATTAAAAGAAACAATGCAACGTTCACATACACTTTAAACAATTCCTATAGCAACTTCATTTATGATGATGTCAGGAATGGGAAAAGCAAGAAATGGGAAATGCAGAATGAATCTACTATAGAATATAATTCTATTTCAGTAATTTAAATATATATATTTAAGCATCAGCAATAACTTAAATAATGCACTGCATAAATATGATGTTTGCAAATGGCAACTATACAGAAATAAGATGTAAAAGTATATACAAAAAAGAAGTCAGCATTCTCTTATTTATGTTGCAAAATTTATTCTACTAAGATGACAGCCAAACCTTTTTTGCATTTGTTGTTCTGGAAAAAGTCTCTACATTCTGCTTGTTAATTTCATACTTTTCTCTTTCCATGTTTTGTAATTCCATCAGTTTTAATTTCTGAAAAACCTGGGCCTGTGGAGAAAGATAAATGGGCAACATTTATATTTTACTTAATATACAAAACTAAACACATACCCTGATATCAGAAATAAAAACTTAAGGTAAAAAAATTACTTCACATATGATAGACAAAATTCAACTGTAAATGCTTATACCACTCTTTACCAATCTGGATGTAATGTTATGTTCAGTGCCTCAAATAGATTCCCTTCTGGACACCTGGATATTCTTCTCTTATAATTTGTTTTAAAAAATGCCTTTTTGCCATTTCACCTAGAGATTGTAGTCAAGAGGCTGAGATTCCTGTCTTAGAAGTCTGGGAAATAAAATGAGTTCTGAAAATGAAAACAATCCAATTGTTGAAATTTCTGTAACATAATCTCTTTTCCATTTCAATAAATCTGATTAAAGAGACTTCTGTGAGAATCTTGCTTTTGGGGTAATTGACTGTTAAGGCTTAAAACTGATGTCTCCAGAAATGTAGACTACTGTACAAAGTCTATAATTTGTACCTACATGCCATGCTTGTTAGGAATTAAGAAGTTATAATCAAACACAGCTGGGAAGCACCCACTGGGGAAGGCTAGTTTATGATAAGCTTATTCAGTTCTAATTGTGTGTCTTGATAAGTGTATCATTCCACTACATTGGAAGTGGCATCAAACAAGTTCAAGTAGATAAAAACACTGTAATTTTGATATGGAAAAAGATGAACATCTACATCTTCAATGGTAACATTCTGTAATGTCCTTAGGTGAAGTGAAGAATCTGTATTTTATAATTATAAAAATATTACTTATAGCAACATTTATACATAGCATTTCCCCTAACAGTAAGTAATTATTCAGAAATCGTTCATTTCTGTATTAGTGACTTGTAGAACCGTCATAGAATTACTCAGGCAGTTTTAAAATTATATCAAGGTTACCTCATTATGGTCATGCTGTCATTTGGCACAATGATGGTTGGATAAGTTACCAGTTATATTTCTCATTGATCTAACTATTGAAGGACAGTTGAAAACATTTCAGAAAAAAATTAATGAAAATAAGAAGTTTTCATCTGATGCTGTTTACATGGACAGATATGCTCAGCAAAATAAAATAAACAAATGTGACTGGCTAGAATGACTTATTGCAAACATAAGGTTTGCTATAAGTCAATTATTCATTATTTTTTTGTAGATTCATGGTACCAGATCTCTGAGCTTTACATTATAATGATACAATAAAATATTTACATTTTTAATTATTTGTTCTTGGGTCTTGGAAACTTTGTGAGAAGGGTCTTCATGTTTTTTGGATTCATTCTAAATAAGAAAAAAAAACTAATCACTACAAGGAACAATCACTCGAGATATTATACAACTGTTTCCAGATTTTCAAGATTCTATGTTTCTTTTTTACTTCTATTTCCATAGAACAAAACATCTTTCTGAATTACTGTATATCCCATAATAGGAAAATATTTTCTTTAAATTTGTAAGTATGTTTGTTTGTTTGTTTGTTTGTTTTAATAACGTAAATTGCCCCCGATTAAGACCTCTCCTGATCTTATCATGGAGAAAATTCGGTAGGAGAAATAACAAAACTATAGTCCCAACAACAGCACTAATATATTTTTATGAAATGGTTCATTTACTGGGCTAGTATATAGTCTGAACTAATCTTACAGATTTTTCTAAACTACAGCACATATTGTTTATTCTTCCAATTTCTTTCTATTTTTAAATATAATATAGAAATACATATTATGTAGGAAGAAAAATTAAAAAATGTTGGAAGACTAAGAAAACCATGGTTGAATTGAGGAGGTCTGAAAAAAGACGGAGGTGAGAAATTTAAAGAATAAATTTATGAAAAAGAAAAAAGTGAAAACAACAATAGCTGGTGGAAGATATGGAAAGTTATAATGATGTTCTACGCTTTTGCTTTATTTTTCCTTCTTTCAAGACTTCTTTTTTTCCCTTATTATTTCTTACTTCTTTTCCACATAACACTTCTTATCCCAAAAGGGAATAGCATAACTGGTGTGTTATGAACATCTGTAAGAATAAACAAGCTATAGTGAGTAGCTACGATACAACAATTATAATCTACCACTGGTTCATGTAAATGTTTCGAATATCTTCTTCCCGAGGATTCCAAAACAAAACTTCTTTCCTTCTTTACTTTCAAATATTTTTTCTTTGATTTTGTCTGCCAAGAAAGAGAAAATCAAATTAGTTAAATTTAATAGGATTAAAGATAAAGATAGTAGAATATTTACTTAAGTCTATTTTAATTATTCAACTAAATCATCTCTCACTATCTCCAAAATATTTAAAGGCAAGTACAAATGATATAAGAAATATGACACATCTCTGTCATCTCCCACAATTTCCAAATTGTTACAATCGTTTTGATATGCCCAGATAAGTTTTTCAATGCTCTTATATCCATCCATAGCTGAAGCAACTCAATGTAATGTTTTCCCTCTTTTCCCAACCCATTTTTCAGAGATGACTGATATGACCAAGAATTCGAATCTGCTCAGTTTCTAATGGCTGTTTTAGATATGCCCTCTTTTGCTTTGGTTACCGGCACTTGCCTCCGTGGCTATTTTGGACATCTGATTACTGCAGTGTCATCTCCTTGCAAATGACTGACATTATGCTTTCTAATGATTCAAATGTACTTTTAAAAAAGCACTAGCACAGGTTGATTTAAGGTAAGAAAAGGAGCCAGGATCTGCTAATTTCTATATTGCTGTTTCTGTCATCCATAACTACTTTTATTGGTTTTCCATTGCTTTTGTTAACATGGTGGATCGCCAAACTTTTCTGATTTTATTACTACAATTGAGAGGGATGCTGTTTTGCCTACTTCATCAGCCCTCATTGTGTGCTGCCAGTCACTTGTGGTGAGACATGCTCTTTTGTTGCAGCACTAATTAGGGCAGGGCTTGCTTGTTGACTACTCCCTTCTGTTTCTTCCCAAGAGTGTCTATCAATATATAACTATGTACATAGATCCAGAGCTTGATATATCTTCCCTCTTCAAAGTACAAAGTGAATTTTGTGTTTTGTTTATTCACTAATTAACAGAATGCCTACTCCTTTTGGCAACATTTATGTTTTTAGAATGTCCTTGAGAAAAGATTATATTTCTGATATGCATTCGGCTTCAATAAAATAATTTTCATTGGCACTTGGGAACCTCTTTTTCTTGGCTTCTGTGGCTACTTTCCTTTTACTAAATTTGTATTCAGGCCTATATGTAAATAACATGAAATGGATGCATGAAGCCCTAGGATAATAACAATGGTTATTGACCCCCAGGAGATAATTCTTCCTCTCAGTCTCTCAATTGCAGTGCTTTTCAAAATACAAAGTTGTTGCTGGGTAGCAAAGTATGTGGAATAAAGTCTAATGAACAGTAAATTAGCCACTTGTATTTTGCTCAGAGAGTCTGTCTGACATAATTGATTTATCTAATTTCCTGTGTGATACTTTTTAAGAAAAGATTGGACAAACATTTGTCTGAAATGGTATAGGATTCCTGCTTGAGTAGTGGGTTGGACTAGATAGAAGATCTCCAAGATCTCTTCCAACTTTGTTATTCGGTTATACCTGACTCAAAAGACAATATGGAAGTTACATTTCATTAATGGATCTTTTCAGACCCTATTGTTCCTTATGACTTTCCAAGTCAGGCCTTTAAAAGGTCCCTTCATTTTAAAGATCTTTTTAAAAGGTAATTTATTCAGTTATGGCTACTTCCATCTTTGAAGAATGGGAATTATCATCTGTGGCTTTTGTGAAAATCAGAAAACTTCTTTTAGTCTTGACTTGGCCACTTGCATCCTCAGGCTTATGAAACTTTGTGTCAGGTATGGCTAACATAAAAAAATCGTCAAATTAAGTCAATGCAATAGTTTATCATAGTTTATCATGCAATAGTTTATCTTACCTTACATTATTTTGCAAAAAAAAGCATAATAGCATAGAATACTTAATCTTACATCAGCAGCTAATAATCAGACAAGGCAAATCAAATCACTGATATCCTTCAGCTTCAATCTTAGGGATGCAGCAAGTACTGTATATAAATTTTTTGAAATTGCTTTTAACACACACTTTGTCTCATTTACTTTACTTTGATATTTGTTTCTAAATTAAATGAGGGGAGATTATAATGTTTTGATATATCCCTTTCCAACCAATGTTCTTTATTAACACATTTTGTTTATCTGTATATTAAATGCCAAGAAAATACATTTCAAGTATAAAAGTGATGTAAATGGTTGAATGATAATTTTTACCATACCTGGGTTTCTGTTTTATCAGCAAACTCATTAGAGTCTGAACTGTCTGAACTGCAAAAGAAAGCAAGTATGTTGTTTTGATTTACAGGATTGTGAACAATAAGATATTCAACTACCTAATTATTTTACCAGATAACAGAACTGGGAAACAAATCATAGCTAATGATTTCACCTTTTAATATTCGCTAGAAATATTTTTGGAGAAACAATCCATTTACCTAGAATCCCCTCTGTCTCCTATATCATTGACACAGGCAGCTGGATCGTCCTGTTTTACTAGTTCCTCCAATTCTTTCAGGCATTCATTGTACTAAAAAAGATCAGAGTCAGCAGTGAAAATCAGTGCCTATTATTATACAGTTCAGTATGAAAAAAATGTTCCTCTGTATTACCTTGCTCTTCTTTTCAGTACAAAACGCCAATAATGAATCACAGAAATTGTATCCGATGGACTCCAAATCTTTAGTATTGAAGTGGGTAGCATTACTATTTCCTATAATACAAAAGGGAAGCCATACTGGAAAAAAAGAACTGTTCAGCAATAATTTTATGTACTCTGGAGAATATAAGAAAACTGAATTCTAGCTATTATTTTACAAATGTATCAAATATTTTTTTATGAAAATATTCTTATACATTTTATAAATAATTGATAGATGCTTGAATTTCAAAAGGAACTTTATTATTCCATATTTCCAATCTGTACCAAATGCTGATCCTGTCCTTGAAGGATTAGCTATATTTTGAAAGTGTTTTGCCTTGTTTGTTTTGCATGATGTTTACCTCATGACTCTTCTCCAAACATTCTGGCAATTAGGAATTTTGTTAAGAACTGCTAGCTTCCCCATTTCACTTGTAGGGCTAAAAGTAGCACACTATAGTAATTGAAACACAGTTGCTTATCTGTGATAATTGATACTCATGACCATTTTTTTTCTTTAGTTAAATGAAATTCTAAAACACTTTTGTAAACATTTCATTTCAACCTAGCCAGTTTTGAGGAGGGTTTGTTCTGCTTAGTACTTGGTAAGCTAGGCTGGCAATTTAAGGAAAAAAAAATTTGAAAGACGCAACACCACTTTCAAGGTTTGCCAAGAGTGAACATGTCCATCTGGTCACTGGGAATTGATTATCTTATCTTTATTTAGCAATTATCTCTACAAAACAGGAGCTGTTACTGAATGCATTAATTATTAATTCTGGAGTAGTATTACTTGTCTTACCCAGTTTAGAGCCACAGAAGGTTACTTCCAAGGTATAGCTGTTGTTAATGCCCATCTTCCACATAGCTACTCGACCTGTTCCTTCTTTGCCTTTCTGCATTTTAAAACTGCAATCTTGGAATGAGAACTTAATAGGATAAGAAATGAAATAAAGTTTAGCAATTCCTGCTAGGGAGACATATTATTCATTACAGAGCAGATACGGGAGAAAATAGTGTACAGTTGTAAAGGTTATCCCACTGCATTTGCAAAAATCTGATCAAACTTCTAGAAGTAGATCTTTAAAACTGTCATTAGTATAGAGACGCACAACCTAAAGTTCTGCTCAAAGGCTTGGGCACATTGTTCATATATTGAACGTATTTGCTCAGAAATGGATACAATAAAGAAGAGTTATTGAAAAGCTAAAATATACAATGATGGTGTTTAATTTATTAAATTTTAAATACATTTATCTCCTTATCCTACTACCACGCAGTACAGTTCACCCAAAGGCTAAGTACTGTCCCAAACCTGAAAAAAGTTATGCATTTATATCTTAATAGAATTAAGAGTTAATACAATATAACTGAAATTTATTTTTAGAATATTTATCAGAGGGACAAACTGGTTATGAGTTTTAGATCATTACAGTACAATAGTAAACTAACATGCAAATGGATTCCAGTTTTGATTAATTATCTGAGATATGATATTAAAAGTTGGCTTACTTTATCTGGACAATTTTTGCTCATAATGAAAGGAAAAATGCGCTGGAGTAAGCATGCCCTTTCATCTTGTTCTTTTTTTTCACAGCCATACATGAAGACATTTTCTTTCCTGCTATGACCATGAAGGTCACAGTATAGAAGAACATTTCGCTCTTCCATTATTCTGTTACAAGAGACAAAATCACATTATGAGAGCTTTGGTTATTGAAGCTTAGATACCCTGATTGGGGTTTTGGCTTATGTTAGGAATTGTAAGTATCATTTCAACATAGTTTAGATTTTAAGTTTCCCATTATATGAAGGCATGACAGCCATTAGTAGTGATCCAGTTTCAATAGAAGCTTTTTCACTGAACACACTGGACATTCAGCTTCATCTCCTTGTCACAACTCCCTTCATTTTGGGAAATATTAAATATACAATATTAAAATGTTCTGTCCATGGCAGCTTGAAATTTTTAAATTAAATCATATGTATGAGTTTCATCATTATATATAGCTTAATTAAAAATATAGTGTATGGCTTTTATTGTTATATAATACTTATTCTTTTCTTCTTCTCCAGAAATTAGTCTTTTTATTACACATGTCAATTATAAGAAATAATAGCGTTACAATAAAAACTGTATAGAAAAATCCAGTAACCTCTGAGCTAAAAATAAATAAAGTGGAACAAGTTGGATAATAAATCATGCATCCATTAACAATGAACTAACATTGAACACAGAATAAATGTATTAAGCAGATAGAAATGATTGTGTTACCTTTTTACCTTTTGATCATGCTGCGGGTATACCAAATAGAAGGAAAAGAGTCTTTAAGATCTGATCTATAATTGCGATTCAAGTCCTTGCCGGCTAAAGAGCAGCGATAATTGCCCACAATCACACCATCTGGATTCAACATCGGTACCACTTTAAAAATAAAAGTGTCTCGGAGCAATTGGGCATTATCTGAATCCCCTAGAAGGTAATCCAGAAAGCCTTTCATCATCCATGAACTGTTTGTTTCACCAGGATGCACCCTTGCTGTCAAAATGACTGCTGACTTGCATTTTTCCTTATTAAAATCTTGCAAGGGATTAGTAATAGTTAAAACATAGACTATATTCCTAGCCAGAGAATGACATAATATACGTATTTTGCAGAATTTGGACCGCCGTGGGTCTCTGGCAATGGCTGACAAGTAGTCTTGCAGGTTGCTGTAAGTGTATGGATAGCAGTGGGCAAAATAGCAAGTATCCCTGTCATGTGGAAATTGGAAAGTCCATGTCAAGGAAAAATATTGGTGCCCATCATGGCTGAAATTGTTTTTATAATACTTGATTTGATCTCCTGTCCTTTGCCACCCCACTTTGTGGATCTTTGCCTCTGCTTCTGAATATAATAATGGACGCATGCCACGATTATACAAGCTTGTTGGCTTGGTGAAGTTGACAATGGTGAATCGGTAAGGCATTCCTGCTTGGGTGTTGGTAACCTGGAAGTAGTACCATTGGGTGTGCTTATTTGTGTAGAGATCAGTACGCAGTGTCAACTGATATTCAAAATCATTACTAGCAAGGGAAAAAGGAGAAAAACATTTTAATATAAATTATGCATAGGATGTCAAACTATTGTTGAGTAAATTATTCATATTTCCTTCATGTCTATTAATAACAAATATTTTCTTAAAGCCAAATTTATTTGATATTTTATTTACAGGTCCCATTGTCAATTATTTGTATCAACTTTGAATGGAACAATATGCCTGTCAAAACAGAATATGAGCAAGCTAGATCTTATGCCATGAAGGGCTTTACAGAGGAAAACCAGCACACCAGCTACCACAAATGATGGTGCATTTGTAACTCTTCTGTTACTAATTTAGAAGCCATTCAGAATCTTCATAAATGGAACTGTGTATAAATTGATGTAATAAATACATAAATCCTGTACTTGGGCAGTATTTGTTAAATTACCATTGAAGATTATTTATCGTATGGCACATTCACATCACAGTTTGATTAAAAAGCACAAGAGATAAAAATATAAAATATGAAATAAAAAATCTAAAATACAGATAGTCCTCAACTTACAACCACAATTGAGCCCAAAATTTCTGTTATTAAGTGAGATATTTGTTAAATGAGTTTTGACCCATTTTACGATCTTTCTTTCCATAGTTGTTAAGTGAATCACAATTGTTAAAATACTAATATGGTTGTTAAGTGAATCTGGCTTTCCCATTGACTTTGTTTGACAGAAGGTCACAAAAGGTGATCACATGACCTTGACACAGCAACAGTCATAAGTATGAACATCTGGATTTTGATCATGAGACCATGGGGATGCTACAACAGTCATAAGTGTGAAAAACAGTCATAAGTCATTTTTTTCAGTGTTGTGTAACTTTGAATGGTCACTAAATGAACTGTTGTAAGTTGAGGACTATCTGTACTATAAATATCCAGATTGCAGGTCTAATTTTTTTGCTTCATTTGTTGCTGCCAGGAAATCAACAAAGACCATTGAAGAAAACATGAAATAGAAATTTATTAATAATGACTATTTTCCTAAAAAGGTGAATTGGAATTTGCACCTTACTTCATGCTGTCTAAATTCAAGGTCTACCAAGGACTGGCTTAATGCCACAGAAAATGGACTATTTTGCAAATTAAAAGAAAAATGGGAAGCAACTCACATTTTGACCACCTTTTGTAGATTTCCACTTTCAAATCGTGCTTCAAAGATCAAAGTATTATCCCAGTCATTCCATGATTGAGGAAGCACTTGCTTTGAAGGGAAACTTCCCCCTATTCGAGAATATCTAAAGCTGGGGTCCTTATCGGCTGTTGAGAGGAACAGAATATAGTTAATTTTCAGTTGCAGATTATTGGTAAAGTCTTCTAGATTAATAAAGGTCCTGCAAGGAAAAAAAAGAACTTCAAGAAATCGTGCTCTAAACATACAGTAATTCAACGGGCAGTAGAAGATAGACAGGAAAAGCTAAGGAGATTTTTCACTTCATTCAATAGAAAATGCAATTTTCCTTTCCGAGCCAAGTGCTTAAAAAGAAAATATTTGAATGATTAAAGCAGAATCTGGTTGTTTATCAAACTGATTAGCATCCTTAGCCATTATTTTGTAAGGTATATCTTCACCACTACTCTTTTATTTTTTCATCCTTCAAAAGTCTAAAAGTTAAAATCATTTCAGTGAAGCAATAAGAACGATGACAGAAAGGTAGATGTAGCCAAGAGACATAAGAGAGCACTATCCTGGTGATGCTTAAAAATGTGAAGGGGGAAAGGGAGGGAAGGAAAGGGAATGGAACCACAGTTCTGATTGGATTAAATTCTTAAGGAGATAACAGGGTATGAATTATCTTCAAAAACACTGATCCTATTACTTGGCACAATAAAAACTTTTTAAAAATTAATAATCTGTTACATTAACTAAAAGGATAACCAAAGAACCAACACTGGCAGAAAGAAAATTAATTTATTAAAGTGATATACTTCAAAAGAATTGTGGGATGGATTATGGAAAATGCTATGAATTGTACATTTAGTATTACAAAGATTATGGTGCTAAAATTTAAGATTCAATTTTTACAAAACTGGAATTCTAGAGCATTTTTTGTCTTAGAATTTGCATGTAGAATTCCATTTTAAAACTACTTTGTACAATAAAGTGTAAATAATTAAGTTATATGTGTATTCTCAATAAAATCTTGTCAGACCTTCATCTGCTAAATACACAACACCACCTTCCCCTGGATCTGGACACGGAGGTTCGATGTCTAAACCTGTGGGATTGTAGAGAAGCTCTGGATGAGATGGAATCCATTCTGCAAAGAAAAAGAAAGAAAATAGCTTTAAAATAATGCGTTAAAAAACAAAAACAAAAACATATTTTAAGGTGCAAAGGAGCAGAATACTTTTATCCCTGCTTGTAAGATGATTAGCTTTTTTAAAATGAAAAAAAGATATATTGATGACCCTTCATTTTATCTTTTCAAAAACATAAACTAAATTGATAGATTACTAGTGTTGCCAGTAATCCAAACACAAGCTCTCAACACTGAAATCTGTGCAGTAGCCTGGTAATTTATTATTTCTCTTCTGTAGTAATCACCTATACCAGGGGTAGGCAACCTCGGCTCTTTTATGACTCATGGACTTTAACTCCCAGAATTCCTGAGCCAGCCATGCTGAGGGGAAAGGGAGAGGTTTCCAAGCTGAGCCATGCTGGCTCAGGAATTCTGGGAGTTGAAGTCCATGAGTCATAAAAGAGCCGAGGTTGCCTACCCCTGACCTATACTGTACTTGGAATCCAAAGAACTAATATGTATAACTCTGCAACTACAACCTTCTTTTATTTACTTCTTATTATGGTTTCATTATTACTTTAATCTGTACTTTATAAGTAGCTTTAATATATTTTAATCAATTATTTTAATTATATTCCCATTCAGAATTTTTAATAGAATCTATATAAATTTTTAAAACCAGAACAAAATATAATTATATATTGAAACTTGTGTAAAATTTTATACAGTACATGTACATTTGTTATATTTTCTTTTTCCTTTAAACTTTTTGTTTTATTAAATTAATACCACTTTTTAAACCAGCAAATGTCCAACTGTAACAACAGCAGCAGCAGCAACTAATAATAATAATAATAATAATAATAATAATAATAATAATAATAATAATAATAATGTTGGAAGGGACCCCAGAGGTCTTCCAGTCCAACCCCTGCTCAGGCAGGAAACCCTATACCATTTCAGACAAATGTCTGTGTTTCTTCTTGTGCTACAAAAATTGAAATATACTTTATAAAGTGAGCAACAGAATTTTACTAAGCAGCTATGATAAAATTCTTGTTAGGTAAGATTCTTTCTTATATTGTTAACTAGTTATACAGTAACATCAATGCTGACACTTTATTAGAAATAGGAAGACAACATTTGTAAAAATAATTATAGGAACCAGGTGAGCAGCATAGTGGCCTAATGGTGAAGATGCTTGCCTCCCACTTGGAAGGTTGAGAGTTCAATCCTAGACAGCAGCCAATGATTCTCTCTCAGGGCGCAAAGAGAAAATATCTGCTGCGAATTCCACATAGGTGCCAGGAAATGCTCAGCTCCATTCAGCTGCACTGACTTTACCCAGAATCAAGGGTTTACAGGGTCATAAAAAGAAAAAAATATATAGGAACAAGGTAACCAGTTAAGAAATCAAGTGTGCATCAGCAAGTCCCTGTATTTGTATTGGTAGAATAGTTTATCGAGCCACATGAGCTTCTAAACTGAGTGACTTCATTACAATAAAAATGTTAACATAAAAACTGGTATACATTCTTCCTGTGTTGTATGTGGAGGTTGCCACAATTGATAGGTTTATATAGCCTACCTTCAAGTTATTCAATTTTAGTTAAATAGTAGAAGACTGCTTTTGCCAGAAGGTGTCATCACAGGAACTCAAGACTTTATTAGAAAAAAAAACCCTGCACAATTCTTTTTGCTAAGGTCCTATACAACCTGGAGCAAATAGAAATTTCTTTCCAACACAATTTCTAGTGAGTAGATGGACACTTCCATATTGTTTAGTTGGCTTTGCCACTAATTTCTTCAATGTAGAAAAATTCCCTATCTACAGTCCTGAAATTTCCTGGTGTTCACAATCAAAATACTCAACAGATTCTGCCCTTCTTAGCTTCTCAAGCTCAGTTGTCAAGGTTGGCTAAAAACTACTATCTATTCTTGAATTTGGCCTATAATCATAACAAAAATGGAGAGTCACAAAAGCAGACAAGTCTTCAAAATAAAAGGGCAGGATTGTCATCTCAAGAGTGTTAAATTAATTTTGATTTTTCCCACTTGCTGTATCTGAAATTAAATTAAAAGTAGATATCCAAAACAAAGTATTCATGTAGTATTCTATTTTGCCAAGGTCAGTTCCCAAATAGACCTGAGATGGTAAAGCTAAAACCATGGTATTACATTCTATCTCTCTATCTTCATATCTCAGTCACCCTTTGGAGCAAATGCTTCACTCTTAAGATAGTCCTCAGAGCAAGGAAATTAAGGTTGGTGACCACAGAAAATACTCGTGTCATCATGAAGTCTCTGCTGTTACCTACTGCAGTGCTTTAAACCCATCCGCATGTCTAGCTTCAATGTTTCAAACTACCATTGGAATTAATTCCAAGAAATGTCAAGTTGATCAAATCACAGAGCAATAACACATTATGAAGATATAATTGGATTATCCAAACAGGCACAATTGCAATCCTATCCTCTTCCAACTAGTATGGAACTGTAACTGAGGATGGGATTGCTCTACTGAAAGAAAAAGATATACAATTTTTGAGAATCTTTAGGCTTGATGTTGTTGAATAGTCAATTGTTAAAACTATTCATTTTCTTTAATATGCATTTGTTTACATTTAAATTTGAAAGCCGAATTACCGGTAACTGCATCAATGAAAAGTGATGAATCAAGGAAAAATATTTAAGTGATTGCAGCAAATCAGAAAGTGCTTTATTGGAAATAATATGTCTTTGTGAAAAATGTCACATTAGAAAAGGCTAAAATATTATTTACCAATATGCTTAATTTTTTCTCTGATAACTTCATACTGATGTGGCCAGCGTACTAAGTGCAGATCTCCTGCAGGAGAAAGCCCATATAAATCTCGTGGTTCACGAAGTCGTGGTACCCATTTTCCAGAGTTATATTCCAATAAAATCTGTGTTGTCCGTGGCAAAAGTTGATCACAAAAAGAATCTGTAAGACAAATGTGTGCATGTGTTGATCACTGATCAAGTTTGACCTTGATGCTTCAATAGCCTTCCCTCTGAAATCATGGATGGTAAATTTAAACAAATGCCCCCGTTTTCTGAAGTACAGATTTTTCAAAGAATTGTGTTTTCACACTTAACCCAACCCTTAATAAATAAGTTTATTAATAAGTAGAAATAAATTGATCTGACTAATGGAATTTAAAATAAATTCTTAAAACTTAAGTGCTCCAAAATCACTTATATGATTGTTAAATGCTATAAACCTCCTCCACATTCAGATCCAACAAAAGAAGTAAATTATTCACTGTGATTTTGTGGCAGATCATATTTGATTTTTAGGATCTGATCTTAGGCAGTAATAAATACTTCTTTTGTTAGTTTTAAGACTTTTTGATCCTGGAATTATATTGCTCAAACAAATCAAGAATCTTGTCATCTCTATATTCCAAATAAAAATATTATTTATGACTGTGGTATACTGCAAGTTTTGCAAAAGCTGCAAATTAGCCCAAAATGGCAACAGAAACTGTTCCACAAAACAAATTTATTTTATAAGACTCAGCTTTGAGTGAAGGGTTAGACATGTATATGGTATCATCGAGTTTGATGAGGGTATATTTGAAAGAATCCATAGTTTGGTTATAATTGCAGTGGCAGTGGAAAATAAAGATTTGCAACATTTTGAATCAATATAACTAGGAGAAGATATTCTGCGATGTAATATGAATAAATGAATGAGAACAAGATCTAATGCAGAATTTTGAACTATTATTTGGAACATTCAAAGACCCAAACAAAAATAGTTCTGAATGTGGGAAAAAATAGAATTAATTTCTGATGGAAATTAAATCAAAATTGAAGTGTAGAAAAGAAATCTAAGTTAGGAACCATGACCAGATTGAATGGAATTAAAAGTGACAAACTGAA